TTGGCTGGAGGTTGATGACTCGCAGATGATGATGCGAATGGGACCACAAACGATGCGCAAGTCATAGCAGCTACAGGAGTTGAAGCAAGAGCAAGCAGGAAGAGAAATCCCAGTCTGTTAAGTAGAATAAGAGCCAATTTAAATAAAATCACTTGGGATACCAAGAGAAGGATGTGCATCCAAAAAGGTAGAAGAGGATTTGAACAGCCAAAGACACAACAGCAGAAAAAGCAGCATATCTGATTTGACCAATCTTGCAAAAGACAGTGCTGACTGAGCAACGGCGTGCATCCAATGCCGCAAGAAGAGCACAATGAAGACGGCAATATTTGTACACTTACCCCTGAAGAATCCTTGACATTCACTAACGGAAGCAGCCAAGGCGGCTGGAGGACCATGCAAAGAAGCGGCGAGCGTTGTTGCCAGGCATGAAGTACCATTGTGTGTCTATTTTAGATCATTTTTTTTTTCTAAAACATCCATTTTTGTTCACAAACGCGGACTTTTTGCCAAATAACCACATCATTCCACCAATACAATAAACAATTGGGTCACTTGTTCATCTATTTCCCTCAGCATTGATGAGAAGAGGAATGAGGAGGATTGGTTATGAATGTTATTTTTTATTTTCAAGTGGAAATGAAATTCTGTTTAAGCGATAAAAGCTTCCAGAATCAGTTTGTAACGAACAATGCCTCGGTTGCGCCTCATGTTTTCATGCTAAAAAAAACGACTTCAAAAACCATGGCAAACTACGTTCGCTTCTACAACTGGGTAAGAGCACAACGCCGTTACCCTGACAACCACCTAGAATCAAGAATCCACGCCATCAAGATTCAACATGTTCGAGCCATCTTGAAAGGACTTGATCAGTCAAAAGGGCTCCGTTGCTCAGAAGAAGACAAGCATCGACACTGCCAAGACGTTTCTTATTATGGCGCCAATCTCTCAGGATGTTATGATCAGTCATCTTCTTATGATTTTTCGAATCTCTCTGACGACGAAACAAAGGCGCTACTCACCAAGGCAATCAAATTAATATTTAATAAAGAAAATAAGTTTCTTGAACTAAACATTGACTTGAATGAAAATACATTCATAATTTTGCAAGGAATACAAGTTCCTTTTACACTGTCTGAACATTTACGAGAAGGAACAGAACGCGAAGTTATCAGAATAGAGTCGCGACCATTCTCGCATACTTTGAAGACAAATGATGAACAGAAGGACAAATCACGATACCAAGATTCTGAGAGACGTGAACTTCCTTTAATCGAGGCAAATCGCCGAGGGCTCCGGGGACGTATCCGTGCAGCTTGTTGTTGCTCACGTTGAGCACTCGCAATGCGACAAGTCGCCCAAGTGCAGGATCGAGCGTTCCGGCGAGGCTATTGTCATTAAGAATCAAGTGCTCCAGCGTGGCGATGCCCCCCAACTCAGCTGGGATTGCGCCAATCAGGCAGTTATGGTTCGCTTGAAAATCTATCAGGGGCAACTGGCCCAATGATGGCGGGATATATCCAGAAATCTTGTTGTGCGAGATATCCAATTGCTGAAGGGAGGAAAGGTTTCCAAGAATAGGCGGGATGGGCCCTTCAATCTCGTTTTGAGAAACGTCAAGCTTCACGAGCCGGCTCAATCTCCCAATTGAACTTGGAATACATCCTCTGAGACGATTATGGTTGATAAATAACTCTCGTAGCAGGGTAAGGTTTCCAATCGCTTCTGGTATCTCACCCGACAGTTCGTTGCCATTGAGCCATAATTCAGTCAGGTTTATCAAGTTTCCAATCGAGGAAGGTATGGAAGAATCAAACATGTTATGCATCAAGTTCAGCTTTTCAAGTGTGACCGGCAAGTGGTCTGGGATCGGGCCTGATAAATCGTTGCTGTTGAGTCGTAAAACCGTTACGCCACTCAGCGCAGGAATATTTCCGGTCAGGCGATTGTAATTCAGATTGAGTTCCTTCAAATCACTCATTTTGCTGAAAGATGCTGGGATTTCGCCCTCCAACAAACTGAACGAGATGTCCAGGAGTTCTAGCTCAGCCAACATTCCAAGGCTATCTGGCAAAATCGGCGCCTTGAATTGCGTATGTGTCCATCGTATCTCTTTGTTGAATTTTAGCTTTGCATGAAGGTAAACGTCTTGGAAGTTCTCAGGCCAGGATGACAACAGCTTGTCCCAGTCATTCGCGGCTTCTTTGACCTCAACGGCATAACCATCCAGACACATGAAATGCTCCAAGTTAAGAATTGCAAAGTGCTTGGAAGTGATGCAGACGTTGAAGTTTCTACAGACACTTCGCAGGCTTGCCACGTTGCTGGGATGAATGCGAGACAGGATGAGCGCAAGGACTTCAACTGGAAGCTTCGTAATGTAATCCTTGATCATAGTTTCAACGGTGGGAGAAGGAGGTGCGGGTGCTGCGCAGGAGACGATGGCACCCATTCTTCCCAATCAAACAAAGAATGACAATTTATGCAAAATCTGAACAAAATGAAAACCAAAATTTACTTTTCACAGGTACATTAACAATGGCCAGTTACAGTAAGAAAACTTTAAAGCCACCAAGCCAATATTCAATTCTTCTTGCCAAAAATTCACTTCTTCTTGCCAATACTCCACTTTGCCTGGTGTGTTGCGGCTGGGACGCGCTTCTTGTTTTTCGTAGCATAGCCACGCTCCTCAGCTTCTTTCACAGTGGCAACCATTGTACGTCCTTTCTTCAATGTGGCTGGAGTCGGTGCCTGTGTGATAATATCCTTGATCTTCTTCAGTGGGGAAATGAGAGCAGCGGCCTTCTTGTAGGCGAGACGCTGTGAGGAGCCGTCAGCGGCGGCAAGGCCTCTTTCAGAAGCCTCCTTCAAAGTAGCAGCCATAGTTCCCGCTCTCGTCAGCTTGGTTGTCAGCTTGGCCACTTTCGGAGTTGGAGCCTGAGGCACCATTTCGTCCTCAGCTTCCATTTCTTGCGCAAATCTTTTCTTGGTCTTCTTGGGTGAAGAAATGAGAGCTGCGGCAGCCTTTTGAGAAGCGGGGCGCTTAGTAGTATTGTCCGCGGCAGCAAAACCCCTGTCCGCAGCTTCCTTCAAGGTTGCGGCCATTGTACCGGCTCTCGCCATTTTGGCGACCTTAACGCCGGGTTTAGTGAGCTCTGCATTCTTGGGAATCTTGATGGCCTTTTTGGGTGTAGAGACAAGGGCAGCAGCGGCCTTGGACGCGGCTGGGCGCTTCTCATTCGTGTTGGCACTGTATCCTCGTGATTCAGCTTCCTGCAACAAGAAACGAATTAGTAACATCCCATGTAGGAATATACAGAAACAGTAAAAACCTTGACGGTGGCAGCCATGGTCCCGGCTCTTGCCAGCTTGGCGGCATTGGGAGCAGGTGTGCCGAATGAAGCCTTCTTAGGAACCACGACAGCGGCTGTTTTGGTTGACTTTTTGGGTGGAGACATAAGGGCTGCGGCAGCTTTGGAGGCGGCGGGACGCTTAGTGTCTGCATTCTCGGCAGCAAATCCCCGTGATTTGGCTTCATTAAGCGTGGCAGCCATCGTACCGACTCGAGCGAGTTTTGCTTTCTTATGCGCAGGAATTGGCCCTTCCTCCTCGTCCTCAAGCTCATCAGCCTCCACATCGACGTCTTCATCTTCGTTCTCTTGCTCCACGTCGATGTCGACCATTTCCTCGGAATCCTCCGCATCGTCATAGTTTGCATTCGTCTCGTCCACTTCGACATTATCCTCGTTTCCTTCTAACTCCTCTCCCTCGGCAGAAACCTCTTCCTCTTTCTCAACAGCAGCGTCGTCACCAGATTCGCCATTCTCCTCGTCGGATTCACCGTCGACTTCGTCATCTACCGAAGCCTCGTTGTCAGCAACCTCGACGGCAGTATCGTCCTCGTCGTCTTGGATGGTCTCGCCACCTTGTTCCGCCTCTACTTGACTCTGCTCCTCCGCATCCATCTTGTTCTCCGCCTTGTTCTCTGCGTCAGCATCTTCGTCGTCATCATTCTCTGCTGGAGCAACAAGGGTGGCGTCCGCGTCGGCGTCGGCGTTGGCGGGCGAGTTTTCTTCCTCATCACCCTCACTCTCATTCTCACTGACCAGGGCTTCTTCCTCCACCTGCTCCTCTTCATCAGCTCCGTCTTGGTCAGAATTAAAGATGTTGCCCTTGGTCAAAATTTCTTGTTGAGTCTCCCCCGGCTTGGTCACGACGTCCACCAGCTTGTGATCATCAACCTCCTCTGCGTCCGTTTCTACCTGATTAGCTGGCGACGACGCAGCCGCCGCTGCAGGATCTGCCTCCCGCTTCTTTTGCTTCTTGCTCTTCTTGCGCTGGTTCTCGAATTCGAGAAAGGCCTTGGCCTGTACGGCCGCCTTGCGCTTGCTCGCGCCTTCGTCTTTACCGAGATTGCGGTCTTGGGACTCCTGTAATTAAGAGCAAATGAATGCGCATGATTAGTGATTGTAAGTTTTGGGAAACGAGGCATTGAGTTGATCTGGTGCGCTGTAAAAGTTACCTTGATAGTCTCGAGCATAGTGCGACCTTTGGAGAGCTTTGCTGGTCGTTTGGAACTGCTCTGTTGGGTGGCGGAGGGTCCTGCGGTGAGATCGGTGTCGGTCATTGCGTTTGGGTGTTGTTGCGAAACAACGATTTTCAGCGCTTTTTGTGGTCGATTTGGAGGGAGTGGCACTCCGACGCGGAGTGGCTTGCGATGCTACTCTCAGACAGGGCGCATCCTGTCCACCCGTCTATTGAACAAGGATCGTTCTTGGTGGGTTGCACCAGTACAACAGCATTATGTCCTTCCTTGCCCGTGCTCTGAGGCTAATCAAATAACCCAAGCGCTCAAATGCACAATCAAAGAAACTGAGATGGCTCCTCTGACATGAACACAAATTTATGTACAAGGGAGGTAACTGGCAGGAGTTTGATGAATACAGGAATCCCTCTTGAGAGGGATCGTGAGGGTCTATTAATGATCCTCAGGAAAAACAGGGCCCAACCGGGAGTTGAACCCGGGACCTCCTGCACCCGAAGCAGGAATCATGCTACTAGACCATTGGGCCACA